TGGGGAGAGACCCTCCTCTGTGCTGCCCTGTGCCCCGACCCCATCACCTTGCTCCCCAGCACACAATAAGGGGCCCCAGTCAGGCTGGTGTTCAGCATGCAGCCCACACACTATGGCCCACCACACTGCGATGGGCAGGGAGTGCCACTCCCCAGCCTCATCTGCCTGGACCCAGTCCTGGACAGAGCCCCACTCCCCTCCAACAAGGGAAGCTGGCCCACTGCCAACCCCCACCCTGTCCCCCTCTCCCGCCCCCCAAAGGGCAATGCCTCACTGCCATCACCCAGCAGGTCAGCTTGGACTTGAGTCACAGCCCCCGCCAGGGCCTGTGTGTGGCAGTGTACTGGGTGTGGGCTGTCCTCTCAGCCCTTGTGCCGTGGATTGAAAACAGGTCATCTACCAAGTAGGCCTGATTCCCGGTGACTTCAAGCCTCCTCACAGCCACCACTGCCGAGGTCACAGCAGGACCCACTGAGACTGGACATGAGCGCCCAGAGAGCAGGCTGATCTCAGAAAGGGCTGGCGAGAGTTCCAAGACCCTGAGCGGGGTGTTGACTATGGAATTCCCAGCCACCTTTGGGGGTTGGGGGCTGTGAGCAGATGTCAGTCAGGGTGAGGGGTGGCAGGGGGCAGCACGGATACCCGCCCAAGATGCATGAGTTTACTGCAGGCTGAGGGCAGGCAGGCGGGCAGGCAGACCACTGCCCTACAAGCCCTACAAGGGCAACAAGGAGAAGGCAGCAAGGCTACAGGTCCGAGGAGGTGCGCTGCAAGGAAAGGAGGAGTGTGTGCACCTGCAAGCTGGGCCAGGGCCACCGCGCTGCCAGCGCTACCTAGCCTAGCCCAGTGGGGGACTCTGACCACAGGCCTGGCAGGGGGCCCTCTGACCACAGGTCTGGCAGGGGGTCCCCTCACCACAGACCTGGGTTGGGTCCTCTAACCATGGTCCTGGTACAGAGTGGTATATCCAGACCAAGCATCAAGAGGGCGGGTGCAGAGTAGGGCTGCCAGCCTGCACCCATACATACAGGTCTCCAGAGGGCCATGGAGCAAAGCCTTTGAAGGAGACAGTGGCATGGGCAGGGGGCAGTCAGGGGCTGCCCAGCAGCTGTGCTCCATGGGGATCCACTGGCCCCAAGCAGAACAGCCCAGCCGTCCCTCAGCTAGGACAGACAGCCCAGCTCAGGCTCCTCTGAGGGCCTGACCGTGTGGGGAAAGCCTGATGCCAATCACAGAGCACACGTGTCCTCTGGGTGGAAAGCCCTGGTCAGGCCCATCCACACAGACAGAGGGCAGAGGAGCAGCCCAGGGTGGGAACCGAGACAGGGAGCAGGAGGGTGACGTCTGAAGGCACAGTCTCTATTTGAGGTCCTATCACTGTTCTAAAGATGCTGGTGGTGGCACTGTGTGGCCTCACTGAAACCTTCCCCAGACTGTGTGGTAGGTAACAGGCAGCTCGAGACAGTGGTCGGCAAGGAAGTCATGGGGGGTAGGAGGGTGCAGCCGGGGGTCCCAGGGAACCTGGCCACGGCCTGGAGCGCTGGCTGGAGCCTGGGAGAAGAGTGAGGGTTGAGACCAAGCCCCCGTCGGAGATGTGCTCTAGTGGTGGCTGGGAGGGGGAAAGGGGCATCTTGGGGAGGGGGGGGCAGCTCTCGCAGCCCATGCACGTTCGCTGACACCACGCCACCTCCTCCTGGCCCCACAGACAGGTCTGGGCTGGTCTCTGAAGCTGCCGAGTGACTACACAGGCTTCCTGGGCGAGCTGGCCGGATGGCTCTCCTGCCACCACAGTAGCCAGGACAAAGGGAACCAGCTCACAAAGGGAGGGCCTGCAGGCACACACCCAACACGGAACTGTCTCCCAGAACCCTCTCCCAGGCAGCAGCCTGGCCACGTACGGTGGGAGCACACCACGCCCAAAGCCACAGCCTCCCATGCTCACCTTTGCAGCATGCACATAGCAGAGCCCTAAGGAACCAAGCCAGAGCCTCCTGTCATGGGGCCAGCTGCTGCGACAGGCCCAGCGCCACCCCTCTCCACGCACGTGGCCCTGTGAGTCAAGGAGGCCATGCAGCGCCACCATGCTCGCTGGTCTAGGAAGGGACAGGAGCTCAGACAGAGGAGCTCAAACGGGGAGCATCTTCAAGGGCCCCAAAGCCTCTTCAGAATAATGCTGTGGAATAACCTCACATCTCCGCCCACTTTCTCAACGGCATGTGGACCCCTCCAGAAGGCCATCACATGTGGTGACGCTAGCACTCGGTGGCAGAGGCCTGTGATGTATGGCGACATCAGGGGAGGCCATGACATGTGGTGATGTCATCACTCAGCAGAGGACCATGACACGTGGTGACGTCATCACTTGGTGGCAGAGGGCTATGATGTGTATTGATGTCATCATTTGGTGGCAGAAGCCCACAATGTGTGGTGATGTCATTACTCGGTGGCAGAGGGCCATGACAAGCGGCTTAAAGCTTGCTCAGCTCTCCCTCCTAACGAGATAGTCATTCCACAGTCAGAAAAAAACAAAGAACAAACCAAAAGAACCCTCACTGCTGTCAAGTCGATGTGGATTCAGTGACCCTACAGGACGGGGTAGAAATGCCCCATGGGTTTCGCAGACTGCCACTCTTTTATTTACTTATTTTAATAAATCATTTTATTGGGAGCTCTTATAACACCCACACATCCACTGTGTCCAGCACATCTAAGACTAGCTCGTGGTGGGAGCGGGAAGCACCGTCTTTCCCCTTTCACGTCCCAAACCCACATGAAGTAAAAAGGTGCCGTCCGGTCAGCCTCGATCACAGCGACCCTTGACCCTTCGGGTCAAAGGAGACTGTGCTCCGTGGGGTTTTCAGGGACCAGTTTTTCAGATGTCATCAAGATGCCTCTGGGGGGCCTCCAATCACCAACTACCTGTTTGCAGTTAAGCACGTGATCTGGGGGCCCCACAGCCTCCAGAAGCCCCTCCTGTTAAGGAGGCAAGGGCCACAGAGTGGGAGCACTCCGTGGAAATGTGTACTGTGAGCAGAAGCTTCCGTGGGGACAGGCCCAGGCACCGCAGCACTGCCTGGGTGGGCACGGCTGAGGCAGGAGTACTGGCCAATCCCAGTGTAAGAAGGACACAGCTGGACGGGAGGGCAGCTCTCAGGCTCTCAGGGAAGACTCGGGATGGAAAAAGAGTCATGTACTCCTGTGTGGAGGGGAATGCACGGTTCCCTCCACAGCTCTGCTCCCTGGGACCTGGCCCTCCAGGAAAAGGGCAAGGACAGAGCTGCCCACCTGCCGCAGAGCCTGTGTTCCGCTCCTATCCAACACCAGTCCAGTGACAGCCAGACCCCGCAGCCCCACCATGCCGAGGCCACTGGGGGGGGGGGGGGTATGAAGTGTCCTCCTGCCCTGTAGTCTACCCATGCACTGTGCCCCCTTCAGATGGAACGACCGACCATGCACACTCCCACGGGACCTCTCGGAAAACGACAATTCAGAGGGAAATGGCTAAACAGAAGTGAATTAAGCCTGGCATTCCAATGTCAGCAGAACTGTGTGCGTTCGGTGTAAACACGCCAAACAGAGCTCCCGATCGACGATTACTGAGGGGAATGTGTGCGCTGCAGCAGTCCCTTCCCCTGGGAATCATAGGACCCCCGTGTTGAACTTTCCTAATGTTTCCGAGGTTCTGAATCATCTGAGCCGCCTCAGCGCGGCAGGTTACTGGAAAGCTCAGAATAGAACGCTAAAAACAGACACACACACCCCAGGCAGGCACTTTTGTAGAACACGGTCCAACTAGAGCAAGTGTAACTGGATCAAAACTGGATCGAGTGGTCCATAGCTGTGCTCACAGGCGGGAGGTCAGCTCACCGCCAACAGGTTAGTGTCCTGTGCACTAGCAGGGCGCCATGGAAGGCTTTACCCCTGCTTGCTACAGACCAGGGAGAGGTCAGCAGCAACTAGGCCCTCCTCCTGGACTCAGCATCCGCCCCCACGCTGGACACAGCACGCGGGTACTGTCCCGCAGGGTTCCCCTGGGAAGGCAGGAGGGGCGGCCTCTTCCCTGCAGAAGCATGCCTCTGGGAACTTCACTTGTGTTGCCTGCCCAAGTACCAACAGCAGGCGGCACCAGGCGCTGAACTAGGTCAGCCTTGGCCTGCCTCTGGAGAGCTCCCACACACAGCTGGGGAGCCCCCCTGCCGGCCACCCAGCCTTCCTGGGTGGGATTCTGAGGCAGAGAGGGAGAGGCCCCAGAAGGTAAGGGCCTCCAGGCGCCCGCATCCCAGCCTGCTGATTGGCCAACAAGAGTTGTAAGCATCTTTTTCTTCAGTAAACAAGAAACACAAAGTCCTCCTCCCAGTTTTTCACAGGCTGGCTCCCTGGTCTGAAAACTGAATGGACACTCTGGGGGCAACTGAGTGTGGGAAACTGCCAGGTGAGGGTCAGGGGCAGGGGCCAGGAGACCGCCCAGGTGGGGTCCAGCATTCCAGGGCTTGAGCGGAGGTCCTGGGGCCAGGTTAGGGTCAGGAGTGAGGATCCCTTGGGGGCCGTGTTCAGAACTTAAGCGATCACAAGCCAAGTAAGGCGTTTGAGGGAGAGGGGCAATTCCCAGGAGCTGGCTTTCTAGGGATCAAAGGCAGGGCCGAGGTCCAGGCCAGGGCACTGGTGTCCAGGGGTTCCAGGTTCCAAGGTTCTGGGACTTGATGTGTGCGGGCAGAGGTTCTAGGCTTCCAGGTTAGGGGCTTGGAGTTTGTGGGGCAGCATTCTGGGGCTCCAAGTGCAGGACTTGGGATCTGTGCAAACTAGGATCACAGGGCTCCGGGGGTCGGGCTATGGGTCCAAGGCTTGAGGTCTCTGAAGCTGGGGCTCGGGGTCCCAGGGTCCTGGGGCTCGGGGTCCCTAGGATCCGGGTCTGGGGCTCTGGGGCTCGGGGTCCCGGAGCTCGCGGGTTCCGGTTTCAGGGTCCTGGGGCTCGGGTCAGGGCCGGCGGTGGCGGCACTTACGTCGTCGAAGAGCGAGCCCACGTTGGCCGTGACCAGCAGGACAGCGGTGCCCGAGGCGGCCGCCCTCCCCGCCATCCTGCGGCGCTGGGCGGCGCCGCTCCCTCAGCGGGCCGGGCGGGCATCTAAGACTAGCTCGTGGTGGGAGCGGGAAGCACCGTCTTTCCCCTTTCACGTCCCAAACCCACATGAAGTAAAAAGGTGCCGTCCGGTCAGCCTCGATCACAGCGACCCTTGACCCTTCGGGTCAAAGGAGACTGTGCTCCGTGGGGTTTTCAGGGACCAGTTTTTCAGATGTCATCAAGATGCCTCTGGGGGGCCTCCAATCACCAACTACCTGTTTGCAGTTAAGCACGTGATCTGGGGGCCCCACAGCCTCCAGAAGCCCCTCCTGTTAAGGAGGCAAGGGCCACAGAGTGGGAGCACTCCGTGGAAATGTGTACTGTGAGCAGAAGCTTCCGTGGGGACAGGCCCAG